TATATATATAGCTTTAGTGTTAAAACTTTTTATGAATATTTCATTTATTCAAAATTTTTGTATTTCCTAATATCGTGTGTTCGGTCTTTCCTGTTTAAGTCGGTCGTATTTTCGTGAATCCTTCAGAAGTCCGTGCTCTTGCCGCCTAACGCACCCACGCACGTCTTGGTTACCTTCCATTGCATTGCTCTTTTCCAACAATGGCTATGCACATCCCTAAACCCCCAGGGTTTTTGTCAATGCTCAAGGAGGGTGCTCTGGTAAATTAAATTAAATTATATTTTGTGTGTAATAGCACTTTGGTGGCATCGAGGAAGCTGTATTTCGAAATATCGAGGCGTGCCTTAGTATCGCTAAGACGACTCGTTCCACGTATGGACCGTGTGGGTTAAATAAGATTGTAATTAATCATATTGGTAAACAATTTATAACAAACGATGCTGCTACCATCCTGAGGGAGCTTGAGATCGCCCATCCAGCCGCCAAAATTTTAGTAATGGCATCACAACAACAAGATCAAGAGGCCGGCGACGGGACGAATATAGTATTTCAGCTAGCCGGTTCATTTTTAGAACAAGCCCGTGACTTGTTAAAGATGGTAATAATGCAAATTTTACATCTCTTTAGGGTTTGTCCGTTTCCCAAATAATAGAGGGCTATGATCGAGCTTCTAAAAAAGCATATGAAATACTTGATGGTTAGTTCTGCTTTGCTCATTTGGATAGAACTTGTCGTCGATGAAATTGCTGATGTGCGAAATATATCTTTGGTAAAGCCTGCTATTAGGTCTGCAATAATGAGCAAGCAGGTCGATTTTGCGGAAATGTTAAGTGATCTTGTATCAAAAGCATGTAGTAAGTATGGTCATTTCTTTACCTTTAGCCTCAATCCTTTCTCCAAACATGCATTTTAATGTCGACAATGTGCGAGTGCTAAAAATTCTGGTAGGTTGGCCTCTGTCTTTATCTATACACTTCTCCAGGGCTCTGGTGTTATGAGCTCTCAGATGATTAATGGAATGGTATTTAAACGTGATGTTGAAGGTGATGTAAAAGAGGCTTCTAATTGCAAAGTTGTCATTTACTCGTGTCCTCTGGATTCTTTGCAAACGGAGACTAAAGGTACAGTCTTGCTTCATACGGCTGACGAGCTGACCTCGTTCTCCAAGGGTGAAGAAGCTCAAATAGAAAAGGTATCTTGTCAATTTGTTTTCACATGAAAATTATCAAATAAATGCAGCTCTATAATGTTATTCTTTATTAGATAATCGCATCAATCAGGGATGCTGGGGCCAAGGTTATTGTGAGCGGTGGCAAGATAGGCGAATTGACTATTCATTACGCAAATAAGTTTGG